AATGAAGATTATCCGTGTTGATCTGGGGAGGAGCTGAAAGAAAAGTTTCCATTACGCAATGATGCAACTATTCGTGGTCACCGTTTCACGCTTCGGAAGCGGTTACACGGACTTCCATCAGTGTACCGTCTATCTAGGAGTGACCAACATTTGGAATACTCGCCCGGCGGATGTGGTGGAAAAGGAAAATGATGACAAGTTCAAACAGGGGCTAGGTCATTTTCTATTATTCAGGCGACAACCCGATGGGTAGCTTGTCCGAAATCGGAGAAGAGAAAGCTCATACGACCCAACGCGTTTGCAACAAATGGGCCTTTACTCGCTAGAAATCAGATGCATCCGAGGAGACCTGAAGCTAACCAGAGTTGACGGCCTGCCGGTAAGTCTTCTTACGAGTCTCAAAATGCGGGCGACCTCCTAGTGTCTCGTTGCCCGAGGTAGACAAAAACACTCGTGGGGGTCGTAAACGTTTATTGGCGAATCGTGGGACTAGATAGTACCGAAACGTGCCAAGGTGACGCTAAACGATGCAAGCAATGAATGCAGTAGCAAAGCGAAAGCGTATCACACGTGTAGCGTGGGTTTGAACAGGACCCAGCTTATAATTACATCTGAGCGTAAAACCATGCTCGGTAAAACAAAGAAATATCACAGTTGGAGTCAGAGTTGAATGTGAAGAAAATATGAACGTCCTCGTGGATTGCTCCTTTTCTTCGTGCAGTCATGGTCACTACAGACCTATTTCTCCTTTGTCATCTCTTCGACACAGGCACTGTCGAAACCTTTTTGATATTGCTGACTCTCAGCCTACCCGAGGGCACAGCAAAAAATCTTCAAGCCCCGTCCGAGAACCACTCTACGTACCTCAATTTTACCTTCAGGGTGATATCCTTATGGAATGACCTTCCAGAAGAGATAGTCAGCGCCCCCAGCAAGGCGGTCTTTAAACTTCGTCTTTACCGCCACTTAGGTTTATCTACTCTCCCCCAATAAAAAGAAAAAACATTTTGAATTATATAAGAGTTCGTAAGTCTTCATTTCATTTCTCTCCTCGAGCGGGGAGCCTTACTAATCCCTTTTCAGTACTCTGTGTTCTAAAAGTAATTCAAACCAAAAGAAAAGACAAATACCTTTCAAGGACCCGAGACATTTGGGCAACAGCCTCGTACCCGTGAATCACTTCAAGAATTCAAGACGAGTCCCAACTGCCTTTCATTCTCGAAGGTGATCTGGGTGATTTCTTGGGGATAAGGTTTATTTTCTCTTCGTAAGCTACACATTGAACGAAACCATTGATTTCATTTTGTTTATTCTCATCCGTTTCGCTAGTTGCCATGGCCACAAAGCTAAAACAGCTTCAAACATGAGCCAAAGACGAATTCTTCAAGGTGAGACAAATATAAAACGATCTCATTAGTGAGTAAACAGACTTTGAGCAGTACCAGAAAGCACGAATGCAATTTGTCCAGACCATTGCGGAATTATCAACACAAAAGCAAAACATAGAAACACTGCAAAGCGCAGGTGTTATGTCTCTACTTCGACCGCTTTTGTTAGACACAGTTCCAACTATCCAGCAAACAGCCGCATTGGCACTTGGAAGATTGGCCAATCACAAGCAAGACCTGGCGGAAGCGGTGGTGAAAGAAGACATATTACCTCAACTGGTTTTCTCGTTAGCGGAACAAAACGTAAGCCACCAATCAAAGCTTTTAATCACACAATAGAGATTTTATAAAAAAGCGGCTGCTTTTGTCTTACGAGCTGTTGCAAAGCACTCACCAGAACTGGCACAAAAGGTAGTGGATTCCGGGGCTCTAGATGCTTTGGTAATCGGACTGGAAGAATTCGATCCAAGTGTGAAAGAGGGGTCAGCATGTGCTCTGGGTTACATAGCACGGCATTCCGCTGAGTTGGCACAAACGGTGGTTGATGCGGGAGCCGTTCCTCTTCTTGTTCTGTGCGTCCAAGAGCCGGAAATCAACCTCAAGCGAGTTGCAGCCAGTACACTAGCAGATATCGCAAAACATTCAAGTGAATTAGCACAGTCTGTCGTCGATGCAGGGGCAGTGGCGCACTTAGCCCAACTGGTTCTCAATCCAGACGCAGGACTGAAGGTAAAACTCTATTGATTAACTGGTTATGCATGCAATTTAGCGACAAGTATATGCGGCTCTTTCTACTATAGCGAAACATTCTGTCGACCTGGCGGAACTTGTCGTCGAAGCAGAGATATTCCCAACAATCTTGGTTTGCTTGAAAGACCCGGACGAGATGGTCCGAAAGAACTGCGCTACTCTGATACGTGATATCGTGAAACATACTCCGGAGCTCAGCCAACTAGTAATCAACTCCGGTGGAGTGGCAGCACTTGTTGATTACATTGGGGATTCAAAAGGATATATCTGCCTTCCAGGGGTAATGGCACTTGGCTATATAGCTGCCCATTCTGAGACGCTGGCTATGGCTGTTATAGTATCCGATGTAAGGTGTATTTTGAAAGAATTCACTCTTTTCTAGGGTGTTTTGCAACTGAAATGTGTCCTCACTAGAGAGTGTAAAGATGATATCCGAGCGGCTGCCGCTTGGTCTTTGGGTCAAATAGGGAGACACACGCCTGAGCATGCAAAGGCCGTATCGTTAGCGGATGTACTTCCTGAACTACTGAGATACTACGTAAATCCCGACTCAACTGAGGATCTGAAGCTCAAGGTAAGTTCATTTATCTCATCAACCGAGTTATCGATCAGACGAAGAAGGCATTGAAACAGATAATACAGAAGTGTGTCACACTGGAGGCCCTAGAACCTCTGCTGAACCTAGCGCCCAGCAATATACTTAAATATACCGTTGCACAATTCAGCAAGGTTCTTCCGCATGATACTAATTCGCGACGTTTGTTCGTTACATCGGGTGGACTGAAGAAAATTCAAGAGTTGAAAAACGACTGCGATGCACAGTTGGCGGAGTATATTACGGCTATTAACAATTGTTATCCCGAAGAAGTTGTACGATATTACTCGCCAGGATATGTGGAAACATTGATGGAACGAGTGACAGCATACCAGATACCAATATGAGTTCCACGAGTGAGGGTACCGAAATTATATATTTACCCCAAAGATCATCCTCAAACTGTATCCAAGACAAGATTGGCCCCTGATACTGCTTTTCTTCTAGTGATTTTCACATAGAACCTTGTCTTCAATGCCACATCTCACTCTGAAGTGTGCACCGTGTAAACGACCATGATCACTCTGAACATTCCACAATATGCTCAATCATGTCATTTCCCATTAAAATGTTTGGGGTTTGGAGCTGATATTCGATAACTGCATGTGCTACCAGAATAAATCGCATGACGTTGGTGCATCTTCTTTTATAGTTACCTGGTATACTCAGATACAAGGAATCCAGTACATAAAAGCAAAAGAATGGACAGAACGGAACTCAATTATACATAAGAATCGGGAATTCAGGTCCAGTTACAATCAAAACAGAGAATTGGTTTATGATCACCAGAGATCAGTTTTTCTATCGTATTTGAAAGCGTTATGAGCCAATGAATATTTTTTTCAAGTTTCGAATAAATTCGATTATAATGGTATAACTGTGAAATCGTCACTGACTCGTAAACGCGAAGTTTACTTTATAATCGTCTTCTTACTCCGGATGAAAATTAGAAATATGGATGATAACGAACTGCATAGTACTAAAAAAGACAGTTTGCATGACTGGGTGAAGTTATATTTAGACTGATGCAGATCGAGACTTTTGGGCGCATCAAATATGCAGTGTGTGGATAATGGGAATAGGAAGGGTACACATCACAGAAAAATACTCGTCAAATCACACAACTTCCTCCTAGACATACTTTTAGGGAGGGTGGGGGAAGAAAGACCTGTTTTTTCCTTACGATCACACAAAGGGGGAATAAGAAATAAGTATATGTACAGTCAGAGTAGCAAAATCAGTTCAATAATTCCGTGTAGATATTGATGAAATCAACCATACATCCAACAAAGGACTCCTTAAAAAAAGATCAAACTGGGGTCGAGCTAAAAAAACACAATAAATCAATAAACCGGTAGAATTATTGGCATTGTGCTGGTATTCTGTGGCATGCACACTATGGATGGATCGGAAGAAACGAGCTGAATGGGTAGATGCCAGGCCAACTTTTCGGTACGCAAATAACTGGATAGAGCCCATTCATCCGAAACTGGATTTTCACCGGAGTTGTATGAAGAAGACCCGGGTGGCCCCGAACCTAATGCAGACCACGCTGTGTCTGGAGATAAGATGAATTCTAGACGTAATCTCCAACGTCCGTCAATAAGCAAGGATGCATTTTGAGCGCAAAACTGAGGAGTTGCGTTGATTGGAATGGGCAATGTGAAGGGAAGTAAGTGCTTGGAAAGACAAGCCAGATGAAGTTCAGCCCAAGTTGTGATGCGCGCACCATCTGGAAAAAACAGGATAAGAACGATAAGTATCAAACGATAGAGCGATTCGAAGGTAGCACAGAGTGTTAAACCAATAAGTCGAAGGAAACAGGCGGTTATGCATAGAAATGAAGGTAAGATAACTGCCAATGACAAAAGAACTTGCACTTAATCAGACCACTAATGTATAAGATAGATATAAGCCTCCACGAGCTTCATTATGGTCGGGGTGAGTGTTCCGGGTTGTAACTGGTCACCATTCACCTGCATCTCGCGAAATGCTCCTATATGACCAAGTGTCGCAAATGGCCTCTGGTGAGGAAGTTCTACTCACTGTATTTTTGTGGCGTTGTTTTCCCACTACAACGAGGACGAAATGCCAACATCCAGGGATATAACCTGGTTGGTGGACCATTGGCAGTTCACCTAGGGGAGTTGTCTAAAAACCCTGATTCCAAACCAACCAAGAAGAGGCGTACGGACCACAGACAAACACCTGCCTTGTT